TTTTCTCTTCCATGTGAATGCCAAAATTCCCGTATACTTAAGTAAAAATGGGATTAAACCTTTAGTGAGTTCCTGCTCTATAGGTTTACATCTTCAGCTCTGATGAAAATCATGCATTTGGAAGTAAATGTAGTAGTTAATCAGTTTGTTGGGTTTTTTTAAAAAGAGTCCTATTTCTGGATTCGGCAGCATATTAAAATTAGTATGGTGTGTGAAGCAAAGATGAGCTTTCATGTTATAGTTTTGCGTAGGGCAAGTACAGTGTGATCTATTGTACTGAGCTCTCTAGCTTTGAGACTGGAATTCCCAAATACTAATATCAGCTCATTTGCTAACATATTCTCTGGCTTAAAAAATAAATCTCGCAACTAATCTATGTAAGTTTTCTCTTACATAAAAGTAAAGCAGCCCCACAAACTTATATTTTTTGTCTAAAAAGTATATTGCAATTATCAGTAAGTTGATAGATCTATAGTGTTTTGAAAATGTAAATACTGTATACTGCATATTAGCTATTAAGGAATTACTGATGGTAGTTTTACTCTTTGTAATCACTGTGCAGTCAGCAAGGACTTCCAAATGTCCACCAACAAGTTTTTAAGTTGTTTAAACAGTGATGTTAATTTGTGATTATTTCCTAATATTCATAACACAGTATGATTTTATTACTTTAAAGCTGTGTGTATGAGCAGGATCCATTATTATACCTTGAAACCTTAAAGAAGCATTTTCTCATGGAAATTTTTAACACCACATTATTGCTTGAAAATGAATGCAGATTTAAGGAGGCTCTATTTTTTTAACATCTTGAAAAATATGTTGGTTTAACATTAATTTTATCATTATTATGTTTTGAACATCATAAGTTTAAGAGAGAGAATCTACTATGCCAGGTTGCTACTCATGTGACTGAGCTTGATGATCTAGGGTTTGTTGATAACACAGTAAAATGTAAAACTGCTAATTCCACAAAACTATCTCTGACACTACTTGAACATAGTGATTGTAACTTAGCGCACTGTTCTGAATAAATTTGTTGTGGATTATACCACTCAAATCTTTTTTGAAGTATGTATTTAAATTATCACCCATTTAAACAGGCTTCCTGCTATGCAGTGTTAATTTATTCATTACAGTTAGTAGCATAGCTGTCAAACAAGCAGAAAGTAATCAAGTGGGGAGGTTGGGGGAGGATTTCTGTGTGGCTTTGGCAACCGTGTAACACCTTCATGCCTAATATTGATACAGCACATTTTTAAGACATTTTTAAGTATTGCTGCTCCTCATTTATGGTTATGCTTGTCAGATTTATAACACTGTTTAGCTTACATTTTCTTTTCTCCTTCTTACAAACAGTATTCTATATAACAAGTGTTATATCTTAGCCTACCAGGAAGTATATAAAGTCAAAATAACTCTCTCATGGAAGAAATATGAGGGAGAGAGAGAAGCCATATTCCTTCCCCTTCCTGAGTCTCTTGCACCTGAATCAGGGAACGTGTTTCACCTTTTCTGTATCTAGTTCCTCTTCTTAAAAGCAACTACAAGTCACCAAGCAGAGTGGAAAATAAGATCATTACATTACCCCCCCCCCCAGCATGCTATAATAACTCCATGGCCCACCTGTGTCACAACTACTGCCTGGCCCCATAGTCCTACCTGCACAGCCCCAGATGCAGCAGGTGGGGTTTGGTAGTGGGGAGCCCCAAAGCCCCACTTACATGAGCAGCAGCCGTGTGAACCTTTGCCCATCTACCTGCAGCACTGCTTGCAAGATGGAAGCTGTGGGGCTGGGCAGGGCAGGCCCACTCCCGTCTCTTCTTCAGGCCACAGACCCCCAGCTGAGAACCGCTGCATTATAGAACCCTACATTCAGTTACTTATATATATGTATATTTTAAATTTAACCTTTTGGCTTGAAATTTCCATGTCAACTTCTGTCTCAGGCTGAATTGGGGTGGGTAGGGGTAGAAGTTTTATCCAAGCCTGTTTAGCAATTTCCAAAAATGAAACAAGGGAGAATGCATTATTTTGCCCATGTTAGAAGTTCTGATGACCAGTCCTTTGAGTTCTAGCATCCCATGTTTTGGCCCAGGGACTTGAAATGTGGCAGGGAGAGGCCCTTGTGTCAGGAACATACTTTTTGTTATCCCTGTAAAATTCATCAAAGACTTGACCAATTAATACGCCTTTGAAAAGTTATAATTTGCACAGTAAAGACTTTGTTGCACCTAATTTCCCAAAGTCTGTCCACATTTAGTTGTGTTTTGCATGGGCCTGGTCAGGCTTCACCCTAAATTGTAGCCCTGGGCTTCTACAAGCCATGCTAGGTCTGGGTCTGGGCCTCTGAACTTGACAACAGGGAGCCTCTCACTCCTGTGCTCTCCAGCACATCCTGGAATTTTCTTTGGTTTCACCATTCCTCAAACAGTGCTTTAAAACCAACTAGCAGTGGATCTTAACACTTCTAGTGCTGATCCATTGTGAATATTTACGGTTTTTAACTCAAACGGCAGAAGATTGTGGGGTGGATCTGTAGGCTCCAAACCTTCTGATGAACTTTGAGGGTAGCAGTTTGATGCCACATGATGAAATTGTGGGGGAGGGTCAAGAGGGAAGTTAATTCACTATTAAAATAATTTTGAAAAAGATTGTGTATATGCATGTGTGCTCACACAACATTTACTTAAAAGAATGTTAAGGTTGTGAAGTCCAGCATGCAAAGTTAAGAAGTGCCAGAATGGCTGTGCATCCTGAATTCCTCCTTTTGAATTTGTATTGCAGGGTCCAATTACATGATCTCATATTAGTGGTTTTTTCTAGTGGACAACTTCCTCGTTCAGTGCCCAGAATTTATGGTATTCTTTTAAAGAGCAGTTGTTCAGTGTGTTTTTTCTCTTTGTTGTGGAATGCACAGCACCACCTTATTTACTACACCATACTCAAGCATACTCTGAAGCCAGAATTCTCTCACTTACTCATTGTTCCTCATAGTTCATTTTCTTGTTGGCTTTTCTCTGCTGCTCATCACTAACTATCCAAGAGCTTCATAATTACTAATTTTTTTCACAACACTCTTGTGAGATAATATCACCACGTTCCAGATGGAGGATTCAGGCAAAGAGAAATTAAGGTCAAAAGTATCTGCTAATTTCAAATACCCAATTGGAGACTCTAAGACCTGTTTTGTCAGAGTGCCTAGCATTATAATATAGCACTTTATGTGTTCAAAGTACAATTCCTATTGATTTTGTCTGCAGCTGTGAGTGCTCAGCACTTCTGCAGATCAGACCCCAGGGTCTCAAGTCAGGCACTCAGGAAATGAGGAATGTACAATTAGTGGCCACTTAAGTGATTTGGATAAAGTGATTTTGCTAACATCACAAAGAAGTTCTGTGGCACAGGTGCGGATGTAAACCAGAATTCAACCACCTTAATTGCGAAACTGGCCCTTATACTCCTACAGTCATCAGTTGTACCTTATTCACAACACATCTTCCCACTTTTTCAACCAGTTAAACTGAAGGCCTTTTTCTTTTGTAACCCTAATTCAACCCAGAGCAGAACATCTGTACTTTTCAACAAGTACATAAACTCATAATACTGATATATAATACTATATTTACCTGAATGCAAGATGACTTCAAATTTAAGATGACCCCTCAATATTTATATTCTATATATGAAAAATCAATTTGTTTTAAATTTCCATGTATAAAATCTAATTATTGGACAGTTGTCTTAAATTCATCCGACCCCTGTTGTGGTGGGGAAAGCAGCAAGGGGCGAGGGGCTAGATTCCTGCCTCTTGCCCTCCCTGCCTGCCCCCATACATGTGCCTATCCTTCATTTGTCTAGTGCATAAATCAGATTGACAGATGGTTTAAAATCTAGCTTTTCCTTTTTCTCTTGTTGTGTGTCTTCCAACGTGAAAAGACCAACTAGATAGAATTTTAATTTGCAGCATGTCAAGTGTCTCCAAACTGGGCACCTTTCTTCACTCCCTTTGTCATCCTGGGTTACTAAATTAGATTCTGAAATTGTGTATGCAGAATTGTCAGTAAGTTATTATAAATATAGAGCATTACATAACAATAAGAAATGAAATCAGTTAAAAATAAAATTAGCAGTATTTATTTTTATAAAATTTTAAGGGTTGAGTATAGTATTATTATAAAGCAAAGGGAAGTAAAGATTTGAAAGAATTGAGTTGAAATTTGCAACAGTTGAACAAATATTAAGAACTGTGGATAGCTTAGCAAATTTACAGTAACCTAATAAAATAGCTGAGTGTGAGAATAGTTATATGTTAAGGCAATAGAATAAGACTCCAGAGATCCAAATTTAATATAATTTCCAGTTCTACCAGTGACTGACTGCTGTTTGTTTTTAGATCTCCTGTCTGTAAAATAAGAATGATGATACCCCCTTCCTAAATAGCTGCTTTAGCAATTTAGTTCTATAATGCATATCACCCTTGCATATCACAATGGGGTCCTCATCCATGTAGGGCAGGGGTGTCAAAGAGATGACCTTTGAGCTGGTTCCATTCTGTGGAGCCATTTCATTCATCCCACAAAGCTGTTGGGGGTAGCCAGGAATTTGGGGTTGAGTGAGTGGGCCAGGACCTGCCACAGAATTCCTAGCTATGGAACCCCATTGAGGATGCATCAGTAATGACTGAGTTAACCTCCATGCTGCCACCACTTGCTTTACCCCACTTGCCCCATAGCTGCTAGACCCCACAGTGTGATCTGGCCTGGGGTCCTGGATGAGTCTGATACCCTTGTGTGGGGAATATCTACAATACAAATAAATGTAATAATAGATAGTTAGATTGCAAGCTTAAACTACTGTAGGAAAAGTACTTAACATAATGGGTTATGAGACTTGTCTCTGGCCTTGAGGTAGCACACAAATGGAAATAAATAAGAAACTCAGCATGCTACAGTTGTATTGGAAAATAATTTATTCATATTTCCTTTTTTTCTCACCTCTAGGAATTGCTGATATTTCTACAGAATTTGCCCACAATGCACTGGGGAGATGAAGATATTAGTGTCCTTCTAGCAGAAGCCTACAGACTGAAGTTTGCTTTTGCAGATGCCCCCAATCATTATAAAAAATGAGTGTAGGAAATCAGAAGTTCTAAGTTCAATTTGTTCTGCAGTATTATGGCTTTCATTATTCTGGTTTGCACTTTCATACAATTACTAATACTTGCATTTGAAAAAAAAAGATACCTTTAGGATTCTCTGAGCATTTACACAATGAGAACGGAATACCAAAGAAATAGAGTAGGATACAGAGCATTATAGAACTGGAAAAGTGAACTTTCATGCTCAACACACAAAAATGAAATAAGTTCAATTGTCTTTTGTAGCATTTTGTCTTTTTTTCCTTTAGCAATTAAGACATTTATTGTATGAATGTGGAAAATATGTTATGTTCTTTTGTTTAGTAACTCATATGCAACTGCGAGCTTTGAAGTCTCTTATGGGAAATATTGTGAGATTGTATAATTATTCCTATGTAACCCATACTAGTCTTGGTATCTTTACTAACCAATATTTGTCTATAAAATAAATTGTTTAATCTGAGTAGAAAAGGGGGCAAATCATAATTATGAAGGCTGTTTAGGGATGGTAGGCCCCACAATCTTTTTAAATTTTGAAATTGATAACACATTTACATTTCTTACAGTGAACCAAATTATGAAAATTCTAATAAAACCACACAGTATATGGCAGCCACCAAAGGTTGTCACAGAGACCTTGTGCCCTCCTTAATCCCTGTGCTAAAGAATTAATTAAACTTTAAGGATTCATTCCCATAACTCAAAATGAACTCCCCTTGCAAGCATTACATTTTGGAATATTTCTCAAATGCACTGAATAAATAGGAAATATACTTTTGCTATGGGAAGTAAATGCATAATTTAAAAAGTTAGCTTAATTATTTGTGAGCATGAAAGTTCATTTTAAAGGAATGTCTGTTCTGCGGCTTAGTTTACAAAGCAAAATGTGTTTTAATCTATTTTTGCCTTATTCTCCTTATCTGACACGTTAAAATGGAGAGAGTGGTGGGCAGGGAGGGGAGGGAGAAAATACATCTGTCCTTTTACTCATCTGTAAAATAACTTTAGTAAACTGTTTTCTAATCATTGTGCAGGGGAAGTGAGAAGAAAGTTCCTGTTAAGTTTAATGATAGTTGTATGCCCAAAACACCTCTTGCATCACTGGAGAATTAAAAAGCCCGTATCACTTCCTGTAATTCAGTTAGTGGGTTTTTTGAATTGTTTGTACTCCCTTAATTTAGTATAATATAAGTGAAATAATTATTTTCAGAACATACTATAGGATAAGAGTTCTGCCATGATTTTTTGGGTGTATCTGAACTCATGTTGATTTTGTGCCTACCTTATTTATAGGTTCCTAAAGTAGTGATTTGCAAGAGCCAATATACTAAGAGGTCAAAGTTGCTTTTTTAACACGCTTCCAGAATGAATCATACAGTGTTGGTATCATAACTATAGAAAGTATTAATACGCTTTTTATGTTTTATGTCTTCGAGAGGACTTATGTTAAGATATTATGATAGAAAGTTATTCACAAGCTCTTGCAAAATATTTACCCACCCATTTTGGTTTGATTTCTTTTGGAGGTCCTTGGTTCTTAACTAATAGGTATATCAAGATAAATAAAATAACAATAATTCATACCAATTTGTGCTGTTATGTAGGATTTGTCCTTTTTAAATGACATGGAACTGCGGATGGATGGGAGGAAACTGACCTGAACAATTCCTAAGCCAAAAGGTTTGTTTTCCAAGTTATGGCTGTATTCCTTTGAAATCAATGGAATTGTTCAGTTCAGCAGAAGCAGGCTCAGACTTCTTGGGTCACTGTGTTTGTGCGTGCAGTACATAGTGGATGTAAACATCTTAAATGTAGTCCCAAAATCTTAGTTTAACTTTAATTAATGATTTGATGTTTCATGGTTTCTCATTAAGTTTACAAAGAACATATTAATGTGCCTAATGGAATATCTGATAGTAACAAAATACATGAAGCCTGAAATATATGTGACCATTTGCTATAGTTAAATATAAGTATCTATAAAAATATCTGTTAATAGAAATGCATATTGTAACTAACAAAGGAGACAGAAAACATGCAGCAGTAAACATATAATGTTTTGTCTTGTTTTGTAATTAACTATTTTATTGAGACGAGATAATATGTAATATTTAAAATTGATCCGAAGTGGTCTGCTGTGTCAGATGCTACTATGTAACATTAATGAGGCTGCATATATATTTTTATTTCAGAGAGCCCACTTGGCTTGACTGCCACGTCTTCCAAATTCAAAGAATACATATCACTTCCAATTAAAGGAGGTGCTATCATGGTCCCAAAAGAGGCATGTTGTATCCATGTCAAAAATGAAAAAAAAATTAGTACATTGCTTTAAAAATTATGACGAGTTTCCTAATGTACTGATTATATATAGTTATATATATAGGATATTTTTCAGTAAATAGGAGTCCAGCATATTTTTATGTGAAATTTCCCAATCCTCTAAAATTTAATGTTCAACTTTTACTTGTATAAAGTTAATTACCGTTGCATTTTAATAGTTATGCATCTCAGGTAAAATGCCATTCAAACCAAAATATTACATATAAAGAGGAAATAACTGTCATTTTACATCCATAGACTTATTTTTTCACAATTAAGAATAAAAATATTATGAAAATAGTATGTATTTTCTTATGGATCAGTATTTTTAAACAAACATCTTGACACATCATTAGTGAGTCCAATCTGTAATTTCATAGGATTGGTATGAAAATACTGAAGTTTGTTTTATCTAAAATGCAGTGTGTTACATAAAATTATTTAACAAAAATGAAAATAAAAGTGTAAAAAATAGAAAAACAGATTGATGATTATAGTATTTGCATAGAAGTGTAAATATTAAATTAATCAAATATGTAAATATACATAGATGAACATAAGACCCTGATTTTAAAGTCTTACATTCATCTTTAATACATTATAATATATTAGGTTACACTTGTTCTTTGGCTTAATTTCATATGGAAAAGCCCATGGATTTGTATTTAAATTCAGATTCATAAAATAAAATATAAGTACACAAAGTTTAGTTGTATGTTTATGACAGATATTAACACCAGGATCATTGTTTCAGGAGGCATTTTAAAGTTGATTAAAGATAATGAAATAAATACATATTTATACCATGATGTGTAGAGTGGAATTTTTTTTTCATCAAAGACCTTCCAAACTGTATCAAGAAATGATTATAGTGCCCTACTTTGTAGAACAACTGACTATACATAATGGATTTTTCTCTCAAATATACTTCTACAGCTTCATTTACAAGGTATTAAGACTACTAGCTTACAAAGGTAAGCCTGCATAATGACCCATGTGGAGGGAAGCATTAAGAAGTTTCTGTGTAGCTGAGAAGTAAAACAGTGAATCTGGGAGTGAGGGACAGATACAATAAAATACAAGAGCCAACAAATCTGGAGGTGTGGATCTGCGAGTGTCATAGGGTAAGGGCAACAAGCTTAATATGGTGAAGTACTGAGAGCCAGTGGAAGGATTGATTGTTTCTGAAAGTTAAGGGGGAAATGGGATTGGAACAGCAATTTTAGAAACAATCTGTTACAGACCTGACCAGGGTGGTATTGAAAGGAAGGTTATGATAATCAAAATAGGAGGTGATGAGAGGTCGTGCCTTTTGGCTGTCTAAACAGCAAGATGAAGATAGCTCTTATTGTTTGGGGGAAACACCAAGATTTGGACAGAAATGGGTTGTACAAGGAAAGAGTAAAAGGTTCCACAAACAACACAAGTGCTTGAGTGACATTAAAAATTGTGACTGGGGTGGGGGCTTAGTTTTGAAAAAAACAGGTTCCTATATCTGAGCTTCTTCGAAAATCCCACTGGCCAAATTTAAGTCAATGGTGAGATTTAGAAGCAATCAGAGCAGTATGGTTAAGTAGAAAGTCAGAAAGGGGTGGAGGGAAGATGAACAGAATGAGGAATTAGTACATGAAATACAAATGGAGGTGGAATCTTCTGGGTGATTTGGGGTAACAAGTAGGCCTGTACAAGTAGGCAGGTATGCGATCCGGCTTCGGATCCGGCCACTTCAGATGCTAACAATCTGATCCGGAGCTCCAGATCAGTTTCCTGCTTCGATCCAGCGGCTATGAAGCTTCGGAGCCACCTTAGAGATGCGGCCATAGGGTATAATCAATTAAATATCTATAACTTTGTTTTTTGTTTGAATTGGATGAAACTTGCAGAGGTGGTAGTTTCATAGTTTCTAGGGTTGGAAGGGACCTGAGCA